TTTTGACTTCCCTGATATCTGGTATTCTTTACTTTTGGCTTTCCCTCATCTTTGTGTCTGATTCTGTGTCTCTGACCTCAGCTAGTATTTTGACTATTCTTGGAGACGTTAAGTCCGGCCATTCTAAGGTCCAGTTATATGTTATCCTTAGTCCTAGGTGTGACATAGTACTGCGTGCTGGATCAACTTGTAATCCTGATAAAACCATTGTTCATGACCAATGGGCTAAGATTCATCAAGAATGCTGCTTGAAGCTGGTGTCTATCTATGCATTTCATTTGCACCAGGTCATAAAAGCACAAGGGTGCTCTACTAAGTTCTAAAGATGCTTGCCATAAAGGAGTCAAATAATTTGAAATTATGGTTAAATCATTATAAGTTGAATTTTCAGTTGAAGTTGGGGAAATCACTTGAAGCATTAATTGTGTTAATTTATTTCAATTGCTTTTGTTTGATTTGTTCATTGCAAACTGCGTAAAGTCTGTAAATTGTGACTTAAAATCTGATTTTCAATGATGGTTAAATAATTTGATTACAACTGTATGTATGTAGTACATATACATGTGTCATACATATGATGGGTGTGTAATTTGAATGTGTGAAATCAAAATATGTGAAATATAATGTGTATATTGTGTGAGGCATATCAGTGTTTTTATTCTTTCTGTTTTATGTATATGTTGTTTTTACTGGGCTATTACATGGCCCTGATAATGTGCAGTGTGTTATATTATACAGTTTAAGCTAAAATTCAGAATACGACTTGACAGGTAAATAACTTATTTGTTAGAAGTTTCAATTTTGCAGGTACATATTATAACCGAGTCTTGAGAGATTCATCATGTTTAATTTCACGAATGATCAATGAGTAAAAATAGTGGAAGTTTATATTTAAAACTTAAATTTGGCCAAATCGGTCTAATCAGGTGATTGGACAAATTCCTGAACTCCAAGCTGCAATGTGGCCAAATACAAACCACGCTATGGCTGAGCATGTTCATTTTGATGAGAGATTCTGAATTTAGCCTATAACACTAAAAAAAGATAAATGATGGGAATAAAAGATCTATCTATCTCACTTTATTTAATTATTAGATCAACTGTGAATGTAAATACCACGGAGAGTGATCTGACACAGGGCCGGCCTTAGGGGTGTGCGAACTGTGCGGCCGCACAGGGCGCCATGGCAGAAGGGGGCGCCCTATGGCTGACACAGCTTGCACACCCCCTGCCCTCTACCAGGGCTTAGCAGCGAAAGAGACTGTAGGAGGCGGAGCCAAGCAGCCGATGGGGGCGGAGCCAAGTGGTCGGCGGGGGCGGAGCTAACCGAGGCCTGAATCTGCTGCCTGGTAAGTGAGACCATAGTGCCCCCCTCTACCCCTATAGTAACCCTGTTCCCCATCTATCCCTATAGTGCCCCCCTCTTCCCCTATAGTAATCCTGTTCCCCATCTATCTCTATAGTGCCCCCCCTCTACCCCTATAGTAACCCTGTTCCCCATCTATCCCTATAGTGCCCCCCTCTTCCCCTATAGTACCCCTGTTCCCCATCTATCCCTATAGTGCCCCCTCTTCCCCTATAGTAATCCTGTTCCCCATCTATCTCTATAGTGCCCCCTCTTCCCCTATAGTGCACCCTCTACCCCTATAGTAACCCTGTTCCCCATCTATCCCTATAGTGCCCCCTCTACCACTATAGTACCCCTGTTCCCCATCTATCCTTATAGTGCCCCCCTCTACGCCTATAGTAACCCTGTTCCCAATGTATCCCTTTAGTGCCCTCCTCTTCCCCTATAGTGCCCCCTCTTCCCTATCGTAACCCTGTTCCCCATCTATCCCTATAGTGCCCCCCTCTTCCCCTATAGTGCACCCTTTACCCCTATAGTAACCCTGTTCCCCATCTATCCCTATAGTGCCCCCTCTACTCCTATAGTAACCCTGTTCCCCATCTATCCCTATAGTGCCCCCTATCCCTATAGGGCCCCCCCTCTACCACTAAAGTGACCCCCTCTACCCCTATAGTACCCCTGTTCCCTATAGTGCCCCCTCTACCCCTATAGTACCCCTGTTCCCCATATATACCTATAGTGCCCCCTCTACCCCTATAGTGCCCCCATCTACACCTATAGTGCCCCTGCTCCCCTTATAGTACCCCTGTTCCCCATCTATCCCTATAATGCCTGCCTCTACCCCTATAGTGCCCCTACTCCCCTTATAGTACCCCTGTTCCCCATCTATCCCTATAGTGCCCCCATCTACACCTATAGTGCCCCTGCTCCCCTTATAGTACCCCTGTTCCCATCTATCCCTACAGTGCCCCTGCTCCCACTATAGTACCCCTGTTCCCCATCTATCCCTATAGTGCCCCCTCTACCCCTATAGTGCCCCTGCTCCCCCTATAGTACACCTGTTCCCCATCTATCCCTATAGTGCCCCCCTCTACCCCTATAGTGCCCCCTCTACTCCTATAGTGCCCCTGCTCCCCCTATAGTACCCATGTTCCCCATCTATCTCTATAGTTCCCCCTATCTACCTCTATAGTGCCCCTGCTCCTCGATCTACCCCTATAGCACCCCTGCTCCCCATCTACCCCTATAGTGCTTCCCCATTTACCCCTATAGTGTACCTGATCCCTCCATCTACAACTATAGTGCCCATGCTCCTTATCTATCCCTATTGTGCCCATGCTCCCCCTATATTGCCATTGTTCCCTGTCTACCCTAGTGACACTGCTCCCCTTATCTACTGCTATAGTGCATTGCTCCCACATCTACCCCAGTGCCCCTGCTCCCCCTATCTACTGCTATAGTGAACAAAAATCACACACGGTCAATACACACACATATCAGACACAGTCAATACACCCATTACAAATATGGCACACAGAGAACACATCACACAATCACGTCTGACACACACATGATAAATGTAGCTGTCTTCCGAGTTCCGGCCAATCAGAACGTTGCCGCGGATTACCACAGGAAAGCTCTGATACTGTAAGTGCCTGAGCTCAGGAGACAGTTGCTGATGGTCTGCACCCAGTGAAGGCACCGACCATATTCCCAGCAAACTGTATCACCAGAGATCAGCATGCCCTCCCTCCATGCAAGGTAATGACAGGGAAGAGGTGATAAATATTTGTTAATTGTTAAATTTTCATTTAATAAATCCCCTATACACATGGATGGCAGGGGAGGTGGGCTGTTAAGATTTTTCGCACAGGGCACCTGAAGGCCTAAGGCCGGCCCTGATCTGACAACCCCATTTTCTTTAAATGGAAGTTAGTTACGTGCTTCTCTCTGTTTAGGAGATATTCCCCCACTAACAGCATGACGAGTGGAGGCATGAGGAGGTATAAATCCTCCCTTGTACTAATGCCGGGTCACAGTGACACTTACAAGCAGTTTTTAACTATTTTCTCGCCAACCCATGCCGGTCTTCCACCCATAAGTATTATGTCTCCCACCTAAACTGATTGGTTGGATCCTAATACTTATTATAAGGGGAAGCCTAATGTCCCCACCCATAATGGCAGTTGTGGAGCCTAATTAATTATAAAATATTGAGGGTGGACATGCCATTGTCCAACCCCCCAAATAATTGTAACCCCCACTGGTGACTAGGAATCCCCATTCAACACTGAATTAATTAAATCTGAGCCCAAAGGCTTTTTTTTTTCTTTCTTTTTTTTTTTTTTTTAAATATTCAAATAATTTTCCCAAATTGGCAAATATGTGATTCCTGTGCTTTAACCTGGTTTGTATGCATTTATTACTTATTTTCCAAATGCTTCTGAACAACTGATACAGATTTGGTTTGGTTTTTGTAAATCTGCACCTTAGTAATGTGGTCAGAATTTGGTCATTTGATCTATGATTCACATCAGTACACCTTATGGGTATCTCTAACCTTAGCCAGAGCAGAACAGGAAATACTGAAAATAAATGAGATATTGCATGCATAAAAGGTCCCTCCTCCTTCTATAAAGCAGTCTGTTGACAATCCACAAAATTGAAAAAGATGTGAGGGAGACTAATATTGCCATGGATAATCTCCAAAGAAAGAAAATTATAAGTATGGTGTGCATTTTCCTTATTCTTGGCTAATCATGGCAGCATATTTTATGGGTAAGACACAAGTTTAACAACCAATCAGGGAGGAAAACATTTGACAAAACATATAGGATGCATGTGATATCAAATTTTATTAATGTGAGCAACAGAAGAAATAATTATTCTGCCAAAGGAAGAAAATGGAGAGACCAGGTCCAATTTGTAATGCTTGATAAAAGTCACAGGGGATGACCATGTGACTGCCATACAAATATCATCAGTATGACATCAATGCCTATTAAGCCCAAAATGTAAATAAGGATATTGGGGATTGAACTTTAATCTTGTCAGGAGGGGTCAGTTGAAAAAAAATCACCATAGAAATTCAAGATGAGACTGGTTCTACTTAGCAAGTATTGGATGTGAGAATAACCAACTTGTCAGACTTGTCAGACTTCCTAAAATATTTTGTGACTGACAGGTATTGAATAATGCTGTCTCTGACATCTAGCTAGTGGAATTTTGCTTTAAAAAGAAAGTAAGGAAATGGAAGTAACAAGAGACCACTTCTTGGAGATGTAATTTGGCCACAATTTCTGGTGTAAATTCTTCTCTGGGTGTTAAGACCAATGGTAAATGCCAAGGAGGAGCAAAGGTCCTAGTTGGAGATCTTTTTCACATAGTAACTTTGAAGAACCTCAAGAAGAGAGGGTTGGAAGCCCATGAGACATTGCTAAAAGCTGTGGACTGGACTGAAACTTCCTCTAGACCTGCCTGAATGAATTAAACGATTTGTCAGATGCCCAATTTTTCAAGGTTTCACAGATACGGAAGTAGCAGGATGAAGTAGACTGTTTTTTGAGACTTTAAATAGGTGTCAATAACAACTGTACATAAACCTGGGTTTTGGAACATCCTCCTATCAAGAACCACATTTCCACATTCCAACGTGTGGAAGTGGGGTGGATTGCTGGACCCTGATTTAGGAGATGATTCCAGGCAGATAGTCTCCATGATAGGGTCTGAGAAATCTTGAAAAGAGGCGGGGGTGGGAGGAGGGAAGGTTTCCCTGAGAATTAGTGCTAGGGGAGAGAACACATACCCAGATAATGGATCAAGTCCCATGTTTGTGATAAGGCATCTTAGCCAGTGGCATATGGATTCTACATCAGAGAGAAGTGTTGTGGAATCTGAGAGTTCTTTCTGATGGCCATCAGATTGATCTGAGGCATGCCCCACTGAATAGTGAGATACAATATTTTCGGATTCAGACTCCATTCGCCTGGTTTTAAATTGACTTGCTGAGGTAGTCTGCAAGAAGGTACACAGCTTAAGACCATTAAGTCTGAGCTATAGTCCTCACAAGATACAATTCTTTGAGTAGCTCATTGTTTGTCCTTGATGGTTCACATAAGTTACAACTGATTTTATAAGGATCCAGGGCAATTCTGTCACGTGAACAAATTTCTTGAGGGCATACATGACAGCTTTTAATTATCTCAAGTTTGAATTAAGTTTTTTCAAAAAAGACCATGTTCTTTGTGTCCATCTTGATGCCAGATGTGCCACCCATCCTTGGAGACTGTCGTCTGTTGTAATAGTTTGCCATGCAGGTTCCTCTTTTAGGAGATTTTCGAGAGGAAACCCTTATAGGAGATTTTCTTGCATGAGCCACCACTTCAGTTGAGTCTTGACATGTTGAGGAATCTGTATCTGTTGGATCCAGTCACTTTCTCATTTATTGAATTGAGTCAGAAATTCCTTTGGATAGGTCTGGAATTCCACTGAGCCCAGAGTAATAAATCTATTGCTGAGGTGAGAGAACCCAGGAAACAAACATAGGTCCTGGTGAAAATTGATAACTTGGTAGAACAGATTGAGTATTGTTCTTTACTCTGATTATTATTTTTGGAGATATGTTTATTCAGGATTGTATTGTGTCTACGGAGGCACCCAGAAAGATGGTGTGGTGAGATGGTGTTAATAAATTCCTTCTTCAGACTGATGACCCAAGTTAGGTTATGACTTATTCACTTTGGAGTCTTATGAAAAGGAAAGTTTATCTACCTTTGGCCATTTAGATGAGACCAGGTTTGCTGCAGTAGCTTTGTAATAGTCTGTAATATCTATGGTTTTAGTTGTTCCTATGGAGAAGATTGTTTTATTATATTCATCAGCCACGTCAGATAGGCAAGACATACATAACATCTTCCCATTTGGAGCTATTTGATTGCAGTCCAAACATCTGTTTGATTTTTATTTGTGTTTTGTCAGAAATGTCTCTTACTTGCAATGCCATACATAAATATAAAGCTGACCATTGGCACTCATTTATGTCCCTAACTGTCCTGGGAAACCCATAGTGTACCTGGGTAGGTGGTAAAAAAAAGTAAATTTTATAAGGAAATAAACTCCTGTCTGTCCATCTGAAGACAGGAAAAAGACTGCAGTATAGAAGGAGGAAGGAACTTTTATGCATGCAGTTTCTCATTAAATTGATGCTGCCATGATTAGCTAGGACATTTTTTTTTTATTCTTGTTTTATTGTACAAGTCAGAGCGGATATGATATGATTATGAGGTTCAGCCCACCTCATGAATATGCACTGACATTCATTTAAATATGGCACTCTTTAGAAGCCACATGTGTTTGGTGGCACTGACCTGCATTTTTTTTTTGACAGTTGTGAACTGCATTTGTAAATGGTTTTTTTTGCCTACCGGACTTTGAGATATATGGACAAGCACACTGAAGTTTGAATAGCATGTTAGACCAACTCTTCTGCTCATCTGCTCCAACACTCATCACCATAATTCAACTGAATATAAGAGGTTTTTCCATATACTGTAATAGATGTAAGGAGTCATCTTTCTTTTTTGCAAATAAATCTAACATTTTATCTAGATCTAAAAATATATGCATTTTTACACTGTATTTTCCCATACCTGTTGCTGTATTTCTTGCATTAGGTTGTTCTGCAGAGAACAGGGATACGATCTGTGTTATCTATATTTTATTTATCTCTTTTTATTTGTTATAATATTAGAGGCACTTGGCATCCAAAAACCATGTCTTTTAAATGCACAGTTAGTTTGTGTTTTTTTAAAGATTTTTTTTTGTTTGTATTTTAAATACAAATACCCTCACTTACCCTAGACAAATTTTGCTGTCTTGTAATCTGAACTTTGGAAAACTGAACAGGATTTGTTTTATAAGGAACATCGTGATATTATGCAATAAACTGATCTGTTTTCCTAATAAAGAAAAAAATATCTCTGTTTATTGCTCAATTTTAGTTTTGATATTATGACATTAATTGTTACATTAAAATCAAAAATGTACCATAGGGTCTAGTGATTGGTGAATAATAATTAAAAGCAAAGTGACATGGAGATGCAAGTTAGTATAATCAGAACTGATTTAACTGTCCAAGGCATCTAGAAAAAAAAAATGGATTCGGTGAAATGTGACATATAAATGTCTTGATATTGTGTAAATCACAAAGAATTAAAGTCAATCTAAACAGATACTTGTGGAAAAACAGACAGGGAAAATAGAGCAATGACTACATTAAAATATGGGACATTTTCTGAATTTGTTTTACTCCAGGCCTTTGCTTGGCATCTCAGTAAGGATAGATTAAAGGACCACTAAATACATCAAAACAACTTTAGCCTAATGAAGCAATTTTACCTGTATATATCATGTACTTAAAGTCTCACTGCTCAATTCTCTGTCTTTTAGGACTTATATCAATTTTGTTTCTGGTTATGCAGTCCTAGCCACACCTCTCTTGGCTGTGACACTCACAGCCTGCATGAAAAAGTGGTTTCATTTTCAGTCATATGTTAACTTGCATTAGAATTTTTTTTACCTCCTACTCTGTAAATTGAACTTTAATCACACACTAGAGGCTCATGCAGGCTCTAACAAACTATTAAAAGAGCAGAGGATTAGAAATGTGAAATTTAACAGAATGTGAAATAAAGGAAGTTTAAAAAATAAAATTCAAAACAGGAAGTGTTTAAGAAGGTCACAAAGTGATTAGTATAATAATTATTTATTACCATAATATATAAGCTTAGTCTGATACTCCAGTATACACCTGCAACTGATAACAAGCATGTGTTTATGTATTGTATAGTGCTACAACAATCACTGTATTTAATGTGCAGTGTAACATCACTTAGTACTAAATATATTCTACAAAATTATTATATATAAATATATAATAAGCAGAATATAAAGTTAATATAACACACCTGGATTAATATATATATGTATAACTGAAGGGACTATGGGGGTGTATTGAGGAAACTGGCCTTGGGGCAGCAAGGAGGGTAAATCTGGCCCTGCCAGCTGCCAATCTAGGATCTACCCTTGGGATCCTAGTGTCACTAGGTGACAGGGACAGGTCTACTCCAAGTCTACATCATCCCATGGATGTGTCTGCTGACCCACTCTTGAACATTTTAGTGGACGTCATACCAAGGGAATGTTAAAAAAGCAATTCAGGAAGCCATCACATAGGTGTAAACTATGCTTGAGAGTTGTAGAAAATAGGTGGACATTTAGCCATCAATGTAGCAGCAGTGGTAAGGAAGTTGAGAGAAGTACTAAATACTTCTCTGAGTGGGTAAATTGCTAATTGCCCTAAAATGATTCCGATAATCCAAGGATTAAGAGAAAAGTGGCACTAAGATCCATCTGGCTGGCATGCTAGAGGGACAGATGTAGTAACATTGTCTGCAATTTGCAGTGAAAGAGATGCATGCTGGTTGAGGAAAATGTGAATATTGAACCTTGCATGTTGTCACTGTCTACTTTTCCCAGCAGCAGTGGCAGCAACTTAACCCTAAGTCACCAGAGTGGAGCAGCTAGTGTTTTAGCTAGGGCTGTTGGCAGTTTGGTGGGAGCAAGTGAAGCAAGCAGCAGAAATGAGGGTGGAGCCTCTGAAATACCTGTCTGAATGTATTTTGCCTCATAGTGAGGATCCTCAGAGCTAATGGAATGAGAAGAGTGTATGGCATGCTTTCTGTTGAGTTGCCAAAACAGCTATTGTTTCATCCACAAACCACTGTACAAAGTGAGCAAGTGTTTTCTGTTAAAAGGAACATTTGTAATCTGCATAGCTCACAAATGTCCCTAGAACCAATGACGCAAACAGCCCTGCTCGAGTTCCACATCCCAAGCCTGGTTGCTCTGCTCTTCACTTTTATATGTAAGACATCATCACCTGCTAGCTGGTATTCACACTAACTTTTCACCTCTTCCTTCAAAGTTGTTTTAAAATTTCTAAAAGCACCGCTACTGCGGTGCCCACTCTTTTCAAAGCCTATTATTGAAGTGGCTTCAACTTGCCTGGTTGAGTCCTGCAGTGCCTGCTACCTTGCAGACACAGTTGGTATTAACTGATAGGGCACTGAAGGACTGTAACTGACACTAAAGACTGGATGAGTCGGAAAGCTTTGTTCTTGTCAATTGACAGGGGTAAGTGGTCTTTCAATTGCCGTTTGGTTTTTCCTTTCATTTTTGGATAAATCCCCTATTTTCAACTTTACATGACTTCTACTTCACATTTTCATTGACCCTTTCAGGGCAGAGTTAATAGTACACGTTCTGATCAAAACAAAATGTAAACAAAAACTGTGGCAATACTGTCTAAGTGTACTGCTTGTGTTTATGTGTAAATGCAAATAAAAACTGACTGTCAGGATCCAGGGGGACACTGAAAAATGCATTTGCCAAGTCAATAACAGTAAATACCTTAGAGGAAGGTGGTATTTGTGCCAACAAGGTGTGTGGGTTTGGGAACTTTAGGGGCAATTAGTTCAGTTACAGCATTAATTGTCCTCAAATCATGTACCATACGGTAGACCACAGGTTTCCCTTTCTCTTGCTTTTTCTTAATTGGGTACAATGGTGTGTTACAAGGGGAGGTGAGTGGTGTGTTACAAGGGGAGGTGGTCTGGACAACTACCCCTGCCTGCAGAAACTCTTGCACAGATTGCGAAATAGCATCTTCCTGTGCTGGGCTTAGGGGGTATTGTTTTTGATAGGGAGGTTTGGCTCCAGGCAGGAGATTCACTTTGACTGGGGGCACAGAGAGTCTGCCTGTATCTGTCTTCTCTGTAGCCCATAAGGAATCAGGGACTGAGGACAAGTCAATGGTAGGTTCTGGTACATGGCTGGGCATAGTGAGAGTTGCCAGAACATTTGAAAGAGATATCATTTGTTTGTCCTCTAAAGGCACAGACAATGTTACTTTTCCAGTGGGG